GGGGGGGGAGGGGGTGCTCATTTTTCGCGTGCCTTAGTTGTCAAGACAATTGACGACGGGTCCTCGAGAGGAGGACAGAGCACTGCTGTTCCCACAGGACCGATGATGCACCGATGGCCCAAGGGCGCGGGGTAGCACTCATGTTTGGCATGCCTTAGTTGCTACGACCATTGGACAAGACGGAGCGTTGTTCCCTCACCCGACCGATCAGGAGGACAAGGAGGAGCGGTAGCTGTCTACCTACGACAGAGAGGACAGGACGCACGCGGGTGGCTGGAAAACATATGATAGGTACTCAAGAAACGGTAAAAAAACGCTCACCACGGACAGGACGCCCATCGCCCTGAGAACGGCGGTCAGCACAGCCGACATGAGCCCCGCTTCCCCGGCCTTTTTCCCCCCGCCTCCGGCACCCGAAACCCCTCCTCCGCTTCCCACCTTTCCACCACCTGGGCGCAGGAAACACTCGGTTCAGGTGCGCTCACAGGGTATGCACCTCGGCCGGTGTGATAAGTCTCTCTTGTCTGCGGTTTGGTTTCTGTCTGTCCTGGCGTGCCTGGATACATGCGAGTGTGGTCAGGGGGTCTACTCGCGCGCGGAGGTGTGGCTTTTGAGAGTTTTTGTGTTTGTTAGGTGCGGTCCTTCCTGTCGGCATATGGACAGCAGTTGCGACAAGAAGCAGACAACGGTAACGGCGGTCACTAGAAGCAGCTGCAGCAGGCGACTGCAACAAGTCGTGGGGGTGTATCTCCCTTCCGCGGTCGTGCGCAACCAATCGGGGCTCGCGAAAGGCCCGTCGTTCTGGGACCAGGTTGTACCAAGCGACCACCCTTGAGGAGGGCCGACAACACCACCAACAGCAGCAGCAACAACGAACAGCAACAACAACAACAACAGCAACAACAAAAACAAACACACCTATGAAAGCCACCAACACCTCCACACACTACCGCCAGCAAAGAGAACAGTTCACAGCGACCAGGCACAACAACAGCCCCACAACCGACAACAACCGTACCACTTCCTCGAGGACGATGCTGCAGGTAGGAAAGCCTGTGGCTGCCCCCGACCCCGCCCAGGCGCCCCGAGGACCCCACGAGCTCCAGCAGCAGCTGCGGCATGATGCTCGACACGTACGGCCGGACCAGGGACCCCGCAGAGGTGAGCAGGTCCGTAAGGATAAGGATGCGCTCCCGCTTCACCAACGGGTCCTGCGACACGTCCAGGTGCCTCCCGAGCTGCACGAGGGCCACCCTCACGAAGGGCATCACCATGGTGGACTGCTGCCGCGAGGCCCTGCCGATGACGCGCGCGGCGCTCCGCCTGACGTCCAAGTTCTCGTCGTTGACCGACTGGAAGAGGCACTGGATGTTGCCCGCCAGCGCCACGAGGGGGTCCAGGGGGTGATTCATCTGCGGCGGGGCCGGGCGGGGCGCGGTGTGAGCGAAGCGCCGCGATGTGTGCGGCGGGGCATGACGGACGAGCAAATGGAGCAAGGCACAGGGTGTACTCATGTTGGACCATTAATCGAGCACCCCTACAATGCCAGGGCGGAACGATTTGCCGGGTTTTTCGCCGGCCCAGGCTACGTTTCACGAGGATGAACCAGAAGCTGAGGGTATGACTACGGGGGTGCGGGAGAGACTAGACACAACCCGCCCCTCAAACCGGAGCCTAAGTTTCGCCAACCATCATCCTGACAATCTCCTACCACAGCAGTGGTGGCTACACCCTGCTCGTGCTCCCAAGCAACGCCTCTCGTACACCAACAATATACGCGCCCGCAAATAGAGCGAAACAAAATAAGTCCCCTGCAAGCACAACGACTACTGAGGGCGCCCCCCACACTCAAAAAAACATACATGTCCAGGCGGTAGACCTCCTCGTCGCCGACAATCGATACACTGATGTGTTTCATACGACGTAACCTCCGAACACACGCAAGCCTTTGTCTCTCCTCCCCTCCCCTCTCCCACGCTCACCAACCTTCGATGCCCCCTCTGAGTCACCTTTGGCAAAGTAGCAACGACCTATTGGCCATCAGCGGTGATCGGCCCTGTGGGAACCATACCCCCCCCCTCTCAAGGACGCGTGATCTATGGTCTAACCGCTAAGGTATGCAATACATGCTTATCCCTCCCCCTTCCCCCACTTCCGTAGCCCTCACCTCTAGACCCTTAACGATCTCCTGCCTCACGGCAACCGCCTCGTCCTGGAGCCCCACCGTCAGCAACCGCTCCAGCACCTCCACGCACGCCCGCCTCATCCACGCCGCCGCGCCCCCGCCTCCGCCCCCGTACTCCCCCAACACGGACCCCACCCCAGCCCAGGCCGCGATCCCCCCACCATCCAGCAGGGAAGGGCCAAAACTGCCGCCTCCTTCAAACGCCGACATCATCAACCCTCCCCCGCCCACAAGACCGGAGTCCCTTGGGGTGGTCGCGGTAGCGGGGTTCTGATCGAACGCCGGGGAGGGCGCCCGGGGTGTACCGCCTCCGGCGAGGGCGGCCGTGGTTCCACCGCCGGCGGCGGTGGTCGGGGCCGGGGCGGAAGTTTTTGGTCCGCTTCCTCCTCCCTCTCCTGCAGCAAACAGCAGCGGTGGACGACGACGACAGGCGTTCTTCCCTCTTGTGAGTTGAGTGTTTCGAGAAAACAAACACAAAGCATCCTCTCAAAAAAAAAAAAGAACGCATGTAGACGGAGGATGCCGGGCGTGCCGCCGGTTTCACTGTTTGTACCTCCGCGCGAACCACCGTAGCATATGAGAGCAATCCGTTCAGCCTAGGCTCATCTTGGATGACGCACATCGCTTGTGCGATGGCACTTGTCTCATGATCAGTGCCTATGCATACTCTCTTGCAAAAAGGCGAAACACGTTGCGAAGCATTTGGTTGGTTGCCGGTCTGGTCAATTTTGTGTCAAGTTTCGTGTTATTGCACTTGTCTTTTCTGTCGGAGGGGGAAAGGGGGGGGNGGGGGGGGGGGGGGGGGGGGGGGGGGGGGGGGGGGGGGGGGGGGGGGGGGGGGGGGGGGGGGGGGGGGGGCGTACTCTTATGTTTTGCATGCCTTAGCGGTTAGACCATTGACCACGCGTCCTCGAGAGGACGGAGCATTTGTTCCCACAGGACCGATCACCAATCATTCCTTCCTACAACGGTGGCTCAAACATGTTTCCCTTTCCCATCTATCCCACAGGAGAGTGGGGGTATCTCCCTCACCTGCAGTCCCGCCGCCGCCGCCGCCACCGCTAAGGTAGGCAGGTCGGGCGTCGAGTGCGGCCCTCGCGAGGAGCCGGCAGCACGCCGAGCACGCCGCCATGCGCACCCTCTCGTCGGCGTCGTCGAGACACCGGAGGGCGTGGTGGTGCAGGAGACGCAGGGCCCGCTCCAGCATCTCCTGCCGGTAGTCAAGGGACACCTGCAAAAAAAAAAAAAGCCCAAGACAAACGTTCAGCAGTGACCGGCCTGTGAACAACAAGCGATGTGGTTCTAAATAGGCCAGCGGGTGGAGCCGATACAACGCCGCCGCTTCCCCTAGTCTACAACGGCCGTCACCAGCAGGAGCGGGTGGCAAGCGGTGAGATCCGTCGCCCCCTCAGCAACACAATCGTCGACGCCCCGCCTTCCTTCCTCTTCGACAGAGCAACCCAGAACCACCCCACCCTCCTGTCGTGTACAAGGGCGCCAAGACCGGAGTTCCTTGCGGTACTTGAGTCGCGCCTGCCGGATGTGAAAACGTTGGCTTTGCCTGTGCCAGCTTCTGATTTTTTATCCTTGTGAGACGTTGCCAGGGCCCGCGAAAATCCAGCACATCCCTCCGTCCCGGCAATGTAGGGGTGTGTGGTCAAACAGTCTAACGACTACGGCAGTCTACATGAGCACACACCCCCTCTCCCCAATCCCCTGCTTGTACTGCTCCGTCCTCTCGAGGACCCGTGGTCAACGGTCTGACCGCCAAGGCCTGCAAAACATAAGCACCCCCTCCCGATCCCCTGCTTGTACCGCACCACGCACAAAATAACCCCACCTCGCCGGAGACCCCCACACCCCCGACCCCGCGCGCGCCGCCGTTCGCGGGTATCGAGTAGAAGTCGAACGACCCCAGGACCTCGAGGGCCAGCACGACGTTCCCGGTCGTGGCCCCTTCTCCCTCCTCGGCGCTCCCGTACAGCTCCCAGAATACCCCGGGCTGCTCGGCAAGCCTCGCCTGCGCCGCCCCCCTCGTCTCTCCGACAAATAAGTCGGTGCCGCCTCCGGTTCGTACCCGCTGACCTGCACCCATGCCGCCGCCGATGTCGCCGATGCCGCCGCCCGCTCCGGCGGAAGGCGACCACAACACGGTAGAGATGTCCGAAGAGTCGGGGTGACCGCCGCCGTCGCCGCTGCCGCCGTAGAAGGTGTCTTCTGGCGTGAGGGAAGGGTCGTCGGCTCCGGTTGCGGTTGCGGTTGCGGTTGCGGTGACGGGAATGCCGTCGCCGAGAGCGCGGTCGGGGTAGGGTTGGATGGTTGTTGTTGCCACCACCGACGCGGCGGCGGCTCTCGTTCCGGGAGATGGGAAAAGGACGCTCTGAGAGAGGGAGGGAGGGAGGGAGACAGACAGATAGACGAAAGGACCGTTAGATAGACCGAAATGTAGAAAACACAAACAAAAGCGGAGCCGGGAACTTCAGACGAAGTCCGACACGGAGCGGACGGAAACGGCTGATCATCAGGAGTTCAAAGGAGGCGTTTTTTAGTACCCGCGAGGGAGGGACCCAACCACAAGCCTCTCTTCGTGCGCACAGGGGGAGAGATCGGTCCAAAATGAAACACCAACGACAACGGAGGCGGGTAAGACAACGCCGTCAACCCCACAGCATACGTCCTTGCTTTTTGCTAAAAGAAAAAACGAAGACACGAACTCCGAAAACACGCCAAATTTCACCCTCTCTCTGTATCTCTCACCCTCCAAGCCTCGAGATGCCTCCCTCCCTCCGCGGACCACGACAACACCCCAGCCCCACCACCGCCACCGAAGCCGCCGCCCCCAGAGCCGCCGCCGCCGCCGCGCTTGCCGGGCAACTGCGGCGACTCGCGCACCAGAGACAGGCCCTCCAAGCCCCCGACGACACCGTCAACGGGAGGGCTGCCGACGCCGCCGGCGCCGAGCCCCCCCCCAGCGGTAGAAACGCCGCTGCCAGCGAACCCCCAGGGTCTTGGCATGAAGTTTTCGAGAACGTCCCCGACCATTTTCATGAGTCGGGCCTGTCGGGGGGGAGGGGGGGGGTTGCATGCCTTAGCGGTTTTTAACCACGCGTACTCCGGAGGGGCGGGTGGGGTATAAGGAATTCTTCGGGTTCGTTGCCACGCGGTGAGTGTGCACGCCTGGCCGAGGTTGTCCTCGGTTGAGGTGGGTTGGAAAACCAGGGCGAGAGGGAGGAGGAGGATACACCATACGCCAAGCACGAAATAAGCGACACCACACGGCATGTGGTTACCACGGCCTCCTGCGGCCCAAGATAGATCGAGAAAAAATCATCGAAAAAATACGCCACAGCTAGCTAGACACGATGCTAACACTACTTACACATGCATCGAAATCTTCTTACAACAACCACCACCGACGATCAAGGGCGATACCCCCCCACCCCCGTATCCAAGCCATCCGCGGCTGTTATCCGTACGCAAGGAGGTAAGCACAAGATGCCGAAAACCCCTCGCAGGATGCAGCGCACCCTTCATGCGACTCGCCGAATACCTCACGGCGCTT